TTCCTTCTGAGGAGTGGCTGGTGGGTTTGAACCTCCAGCCTTCTGGTTAGTAGTCAAATGCTTTAGGCACACCACCAGAGCTCCCATACTCTAAAAGCTACATTAAAGATTTATTTCTTATCAATGCCATCTGCAGTTCTAGAAGTTCTGGTGGTATAGTGCCTAAGACATTTATATGACTGCTAACCAGAAGGCTGGCAGTTCAAACCCACCAACCACTCCTCGGAAGGAAGACTGAGCAATCTACTTCCGTAGTGACACAGCCTTGGAAACCCAAGGAGGGGTCACTACGAGACCTGAGACTGGCTTCAGGGCAGTGAGAGAGAGTTCTTTACTTAGCATCTGTCTTTTTATTTAACACACACAATCACCAGGCTTATTAACAGCTTTATGTGAAGCAGTAACACAATTCATCACATTCTCCCCAAATACCAAGAGTTGTAAATTGATTTTTCTCCATTGTTTATTTTCAACATCACAAAGTTAAAAATATAAGAAACCCTAACCAAACATCTTCATCTTTTACAACCTCACATTTACAAATACAGTTTCCTTTTAACTCCTAACCATTATCCTATACTACTTTTCATAAGAAGAATCAAGATGGGAACACAAGTTATTTTAAAGTTATTCCTTATGTTATAAACTAGTTTCATTTCTTTACTATGGTACTTGAATCCAAAGGTACCCATGGGCCCTGAATTCAGATTTTTCACTGAAATGACCGTGAACAAAATAACTTAATATATGCAGAGAAGAACAGAAAAAGGGAAGAAATTGAAAACAGATAGATGGAGGGTAAAGTAGCTAAGGTAAAATATACAGAGAAGTGTCAAACCTGTCACTTGACTTTGGATATGCCTCAGAAAGTACAGAACCACCTAATGTCGTATCACTGTACTTCAGGGTCAGTTTCCTGAAGATAGTCTCTCCATATAGCTCCACCAAAAGTTATACAATTTAGACTGAATTTATAGTTAAAGTGAATTTTCTATTAATATTATGGGAAGTTACAGAATTGGGAAAAAATTTTCAATTTAAAAACATTTACACAAATCAGAAGAAAGAAGTCTAATTCGATACAACAAATTGACAAAATATCACTGTAGTCTTAGACACTACTCTTACACTGAATAGTTCATTTTCAAATTTCATGCTCAAGGAATCTAACTAAATTGAAGAGAAGAATCAGATTATGCCATTAGTATTTTTTTTTGTTACGATTGCACATTGGAACAATTCTGGAACTGAACTCATTCTTGGGGCTTCCAGCCAAACAACAAACAGGCATATGAGGTGAACATTCACATTGGGTAGCTACATTCCTTGGAACAATCAATCATAGGTGAACAGAGGGGTGGTGTTGGCACAGGGAGACAGCTTGGGAGGCGGGAGTACCTGGGAGGGAAGGACACAGGGAAGGAAGTGGGAAGAGAGCTGTTACGTTGTGGGAATTGCAGTCAATGTCATGAAACAAAATGTGTATGAACTGTTCTATGGAAAACGAATTTGCTCTGTAAATTCACTCCAATCACGATTAAAAAAAAAAAAGGAAAGAAGTGATCTCTTGCAGCAGATTCGCCCAGTGCAATATATCATCTGATTTCTTGATTGCTGCTTCCATGGGCATTGATTGTGGATCCAAGTAAAATGAAACCTCTGACAACTTCAATCTTCTCTCCATTCATCGTGATGCTGCTTATTGGTCCAGTTTTATTTCTGTTGTCTTTATGCTGAGGTGTACTCCAACCTAAAGGCTGTAGTCTTTGATCTTCATCAGCAAGTGCTTCAAGTCCTCTTCACTTTCAGCAAGCAAGACTGTTATCTGCATATCACAGGTTGCTAATGAGTCTTCCTCCAATCCTGAAGCCACATTCTTCTTCATAAAGTCAAACCTCTTATTTACTTAGGACATGGAGTGAATTAATATGGTAAAGGATACAACCCTGATGCACATTTTCTGATTTTAAACCACAGAGTGTCTCTTTGTTCAGTTCAAACAACTGCCTTTTGCTTTATGTACAGGTTCCTCATGAGCACAATTAAGTGTTCTGGAGTTTCCATTCTTTGCAATGTTATCCATAATTTGCGATGATCCACATAGTTGAGTGCCTTTGCATAGTCAATAAAACACATCTTTGTTATTCTTTACTTTTAGCCAGGAGCTTAATTTGACTCAACATGGGAAACGTCACTTGGCCCAGATACAGACAGGACCAACAACTCTTTCTTGATTTTGTGTTGGCGGTGTATGGCCGTTCCTAACTCGTATAGTGATGTATCTTGCTTAATTCCAGTAATGAATGAGACTGTGGCATGCTAACTAGTTACACGACCCCCTAAGTGATTGGCATACTCCAACTTCTTAGAGGGGTAAATGGCTTTTACAATAAATTACCTATTTAAAAAAAAAAAAAAAACCCACTGCTGTGGAGTTGGAGCTGACTCATAGTGACCCCTCCTTGGGTTACCAAGGTGGTATCTCTACTAAAGTAAATTGCCCAACCTTCCTTTTGAGGAGAGGCTGGTGGGTTCGAACCACCAGCCTTCTGGTTTATATTACCTATAAATAGATAAAAAATTAACTTAACTCCTATCACTAAGATTTACATATAACCAGTACTTTATGTAACATCTAAGTCTAACTCTCTGTGCCAACGCTGTGAAGCTCAGGGGAAATTTCCTAAATGGGTAGAGAAAAGTCCCAGGAAAGGAAAAGTAACATAGCTAATAAAAACCAAATTCACTGCTGTCAGTCGATTCTGACTCACAGTGACCCCACTGGGTTTCCCAGGCTGGAAATCTTTATGGAAGTAGATTGCCAGTCTTGCCTCTGCAGAGTGACTGGTGGGTTTGAACCACCAACCTTCTAGTTAGCGGTCAGATGCCTTAAGCACTGTGGCAGCAGAGCTCAAGATAGCTAATGGGAAAGGAAAATATTTAAATATCTGGGACTTCACCTGCAAATAAATCTTCCTTTTGCCTACTTTGAGAATTCAATGATTTTAACTTTATCAATGAACCATATCAATGAAGAAGCTTCGGTGATCATCAGTGAAGATACTGAAATATAAACTGAGAAGAACCAGATGGATACTTCCGTGTTTTATCCAAGATAAAGAAGATTTTCCTTCTTCTCTAAATAAGCCAATTCATTTTGGTACACAGTGGGCACTATCTAGTTCTTCTGGTCTCAGGGTAATGGAGGCTGGGTTCATGTGGTCCATTAGTCCTTTAGACCAACTGTTTCCTTTAGTCCTTGATTTTCTTCACTCTTCTTTCCTCCAGACAAGGAGAGACCCACAGCTGCACCTTAGATGACTACTCACGAGCTTTTAAGACAAGACCCCAGTCACTACTCACCAACATAGGATAAAGAACATTGTTTTTGTGGAGTACGTTATGCCAATCTCTGTTCCCTGAGACTATGGTCCTAAGCCTCCAGGTCCAGTGACTCATTCCCTCAAGTGTTTGGTTATGGGTAAGAAATTTTTGTAACTTTGCCTCTGCTTGCTCTATTTTATTTATGAATGTATTTGCAGCACATGTAAATACATATGCAGAAATATTCTCTGTCAAACCTATTAATATTTGTGGGTATAGTCCCAGTCACCTTCCCACCCTATTCAGCTCGTGTTTCTAGCTATGTATCTACTTGTATATTGTTGTCACTACTGTTCTTACAGGACTGGCATTTAACAGTATTTACCTTTGTTGCCTTTAACTTTTGTGTTCCTTCCAGTGCCTTCCTCTGCCTTGATCATCTTGTGTTGACCTCTTCCTTACTGTATATCGCCTTTCCCTGCAGCTAGTTAAAATGTGTCTGCCTTCTAGGCAGCTATTTACTCTCCCTTCTCCTCACACCCCTGGTAACCTTCAAAGAATGTTTCTTTCTATGTGTAAACCTTTTCTTGACTTTTTACAGTAATGGTCTCATATAGTACTTGTCCTTTTGTGACTGACTAATTTGAAAATTTCTGGAAACAACATATTGGACAAGGGTCTGATCTCTGTAATTTATAGACAACTTTAATCATCAACAACAAAAAGGCAATCCAATTAAAAAATGGGCAGAAGAAATGAACAGACACTTCACTAAAGGTGACACTCATGTGTCCAACAAATACATGAAGAAATGCTTATGATCATTAGCCATTAAGAGAGATGCAAATCAAAAGAACAGAGAGATACCATCTCACCCCAGCAATAATGCCAAAGTTCAAAAAACAGAAAACAACAAATGCTGGTAAGTGTGTGGAGAGACTGGAACCCTCCTGTCCTGCTGGTGGGATTGTAAAATTGTGCAATTACCATGGAAAATGGTATGGTGCTTTCTTACAAAGCTACAAACAAATACTATATGATCCAGCTATCCCACTACTAGGTATATTTCCCAGAGAAATAAGAGCTGTAACACAAGCAGATATATGCAAACTCATGTTCACTCAAACACTATTCACAATAGCAGAAACATGGGAACAACCAAAGTGCCCATCAATGATGTATAGATAAACTATGGTACATACACACAATGGAATGCTAGGCAATGTTAAAGAATGATGATGAATCTGGGAAACAGCTCCTAACATGCATGAACCTAGAGGGCATTATGCTGAGTGAAATTAGTCCATGTCTAACTTCCTGTTCATTGAGTTAAAAAAAAAGAGTTAAAGTTTTGGGCTAATTCAACTTTAAAAATGCACATACATTCGCAAAGGAAAAAAAAAATGAAGTGAAAAGAAAAGACAAAGAACTTTGGTTTTTGATGTAAAGTTCAAATATGTGATTAAATAAGCCAATTTAAATAGCTGACCAGCAGAACATGGAAGGGGTAAGCATAAGCAATGGGAACAGTACTGGGTTAAAAGAGATCTTCTGAAATTGATATAGTACCCTGCCTATGCTTCCTCATTTGAAAAGAGGATAAGTGAACGTCTAGGTACTTTCTAAACTGTTTAAAATAAAATGTGTCTGCGTAGTAGTACTTAATGCACATTAAGGTAAGACATCAGTTCAGCTGAGTGAAATTTATAACAATTAAACATACCAGCTGAGATTTCTATACTGAAGTATTCTGTACTCCCCTTTCTCACTATAGACTTTTCTTCTTTCTTTGCATCAAAGTCTCTAATGTCCCAGCACCAAACTGTTTTAGAGGAGTTGGAGGAGGTCCCCACTCCTTCTAGGCAAGGCAGCTTAGGGGAGAGTTGGTAGAAGAAACCTCACTTCTGTTAATGCAAGAGAGATATATTCCACACATTGCACTTTAGAACTCTTAATAGGCACATCCCCACAGTAACACTGTCTGTTATACTCACAGTTCTCATCTTCAAATGAATCTCTGGAAAACAAACTATTTATCATTTGGATATTGACCTCAGTTAAAGTGTACCAAACTCTTCTAAAAACTAAACTCACTACCATCGAGTCAGATCCCACTCACAGCAACCCCTCCTTGGGTTTCCGAGGCAGTATCACTACATAAGTAGATGGTCAATATTCCTTCCGAGGAGTGGCTGGTAGGTTTGAATTGCCAGCCTTCTGGTTAGCAGTGAAATGCCTTACGCACTACGCCACCAAACTCTTAAAACAGAAAAATTCTTTAACAACCTGTACATTTAAAATGCCAGTGGTTTATAATACTACACAGTCTACATTTTGATGTCAATGATATTTTTATTTTTTATGGATTATTTTAGGTACAATGTAAAGTAAAATTACAGCTTTTTAAAAGCTTATTGGGAAATACAAGAGACAAAAGTTTTATGGTTAACACTTAGACTTGGCTAAATCTACCAGGAGCAGTGATGATAGTCACCACTTAATTTAGAAGAGGTGCCAATACACTCTTATCATTTCTACAAAGAGTACGCATTAATACTACCAGTTTCACATTGCTAAGAGTATGTGAAGCTCCACTTCACTAAACTGAGACCTACTGGGGCAGAGTCAAGAGCTTTTATTTAATACACAAGGAGTATTCCTAACTGACAATTTCTTGTTTCACAGCAACATTTGTTTAGGCTCATCATCTATGGTGGCCAATGAGAAGTAAGACAATGTGGTTTGGTACTACTGTTTATAGAATTTAAGTAATTAACAGAAATATATCAATATACACAATTATGAAAAAACTTAGAAATGTACTTAAAGTTACTGTGTTTCTTATTAAGCCTAATAAGGAGCTTAATTATAAGGATTGTCTTACTGGAACTTTTAACATAAAATACATACCTCTTGTAAGGTATTGATATCTACTCCATCTCCTTGAATAACTCTAAGGTAAGGTGGCAGCAGCTTGTAGCCTTTTGAGTTCTCTGTAACAGGGAACTTCTTCCCTAAAATATCCAAAACCTATATGGAAAAATAACAACCAGCACAAAACAATGGAAAAGAATCAAAACTTTCCAAAGTTAAAAAAACATTTTGCTTTGCTAGATGATCTTGGGAATATAAAAATTCTTCAAATTACTTTAAAAATTCTACAGTACTGTGTATAAGCAAACCCTTTTAAATTTAGCCCTGACCTTTTGTAATTATGTTAGAAACATGCGTGCTGTTAATTTATGTCATAATGTAGCTGAAAACCCAAGTTTCTCTTCACATTATCCAAATTACACAAATTTAGGGGAAAAAATCCTTAGCATTAAGGAGATTAAAACAATATACATATATATATTTTGAAAAGGTATAAAAGTATACCTTGATTACACTTTTGAATTTATTTGATTTATGCTCAATAGTTTACTAATTCTGTCTGACATAAGTCAAATGTAAGTCCATTTGAATCACAAAGTTCATAGAAACTGTGATAGGCAGACAAAGCTGGAAATGAGTCATATACAACCCACTGTTTCTCTGAAGTTCTCCATTTCACTTAAAGATGACCCCCATGTTTTAAGTCAATATGCGTAATATGCAAATCACCCTCACTCACTCATTAACTCTTTAAGGTTTTGTAGCAGCTCAAATACCTAAACACAAATTTAAAATTTCCCTGAAAGCTTTGTCAGGGATACAAAAGACCTACCAATCAGACACCTATCCCTGACCCCAAAATTACCTTTTCCTATATAAATCAATGATTCTAACAATGAAAAAATTCTGTATTAACGACTCAGTACATTCTTATAACTAGCCATATACATTTTTATTATGTTATAGTTCAAAGGTGAAGCCTATTATGTTTGCTAAAACCAAATCTGTTAATATTTCAGGTTAAGACAGGACCTTCAGACTGGCCTACCTTTAGCAGATTAGGAAAAGGCCTCCTTGATTCTCTGTTCCTCTTTCTTAAACCAAACCAAACCCACTGCCATCGAGTAGATTCCAACTCAGCGACCTCCATTGGGTTTCTGAAGCTGTAAATCTTTACAGAAGTAGATTGGCCCATCTTCCTTCCATGGAGTGGCTGGCGGATTTGAATCACCAACCTTCTAGTTAGCAGTCAAATGCCTTAGGCAACGTGCCACTTGAGCTCCTTTCCCCTTTCTTAGGGAGTAAATAATTTATCATCTAATCATTAGCTGGGAGACTGGTAAAATTGGAAGGCCACAACCACAAAGTACTAGATTGATACCTGGCTTCTTATTTTACATGTTATATATGACCTTCAGCAAGTTTCTTTCAACTTCTAAGCCTCTGTTTTTCTATTCTACCAAACAGAGCTAGTAATACTTTTCACAGGGTTTTTGTGAAAATTAAAGGACATAACTTATGAAAGGCACCCGATTCAGTATTTTTCTAGAGGAAGACATGAAATAAAGGAGCACTGGTGGTGTGGTGGTTAAGGCATATGGCTGCTAACCGAAAGGTTGGTGGTTTGAACCCCAGATGCTCCACGGGAGAAAGATGAGGCAGTATACTTCTGTAAAGATACTCAGCCTTGGAAACCCAGTAGGGGTTGCTATGAGTCAGAGCTGACTTGATGGCAATGATTTTCTTTTTCGGTTTGGAGGCATCAAACAACCCTTTTCCTGTTAATGCTTTTCAAAGAAGGCAAACCAAGTCCTAAACTCTAAAGAATCCAACACCGCTAAATTGAAAAGCAACGTTATTACAAAGGACCACCACAAGTAAATTATTTTCAAATTATTTTTATCCACAACACCCTGCACATATTTCTTTTGCACTAAAAATTTCAAAGGTATAGCAATGACTGGGAGCTCTGGTAGCATAGTGGCTAAGGCACTTGACTGCTAACCAGAAGGCTGGCGGTTCAAACCCACCAGCCACTCCTCGGAAGGAAGGTTGGGCAATCCTACTTCCGTAGTGATACTGCCTCGGAAACCCAAGGAAGGGTTGCTATGAGTCGGGGCCGACTCGACGGCACATAACAACAACAACAACAACAACAACATAGCAATGACTAGTGATAAAGAAAAAGAAACCACAAATAAACTTGGTGACCATTCCACAAGATTGTTTCAAATGGTATAATGCTATCAATTAATTTTGAAGGTAAACAGAAAAAATATTTGACAGTACTTAACTGTCATTTGACAGTATATAAATTACCTATAACTCCTTTCTCTATTAATTAATGTGTGATCTTGGGCAAATCTATTACTCTCTCTAGGCCACAACTCTAAAATATGGAGATATGTCTAAACAGCTCTGAAATGGTGTGTATATAAATAAAATTATAAGCAGGGTAGATGCATTTGGTGTATAGGCATTTTAATAATCAAGTTATATATTAAAATTTACCTTTAGCACAGTGTCAAGAGGATTTCCAGAATCAGGTCTGATTATTAGTGGTGCCTCTGTACTTCTTGATACTATTAAATGTCTTAAATCTTCACCCCATATTTTCTCACATGCATTATAAATGTCATAGCTATCACTGACCACAGATACAGGCACCGATGAAAACTGTGTTACTATATGTTCAAAAGCATCTTTTTCATGGTCTTTCCCCCAAGCTGTTATGGTACTAGAAAACAAAATGAAAATAAAGATTTACTCAGGAGACATATTAACTATTTCTGAACCATCTGTTAAGTCATCTCCCATGCTTACTCTACTATACTATCAACATCACAGAGAAGATGAGTGATTTAGTCTAATGAATGCTTATACTAAGTTGAATTTCTGACCAAACCACCCCATGGCCAATTCATATTTAATAGTACAAGTAATCTAATTCCTCTTCAATAGTTATTAAATAACTTCATTTTTAAGTAATATTCAACCAATTAGAAATTCTCTTGTTTTTCCCGAACCACCCATTTAAAATCAGTGAGCTAAAAAGCACTTGCTTAATGTCTTCTGTATGTTAAACTGAGATTTTGAGAAAGAATGAGCATATACTCCCCATTATTTTTGCTAGGTCACGAAAGCACTTTGCCCTCTTCTAAATTTTCAAAACCATATTAACAGTGAAAAGAACAAAAACCAAACTCACTGCCATTGAGTCGAATCCAACTCATAGTGACCCCTCCTTGGGTTTGCCCAGTCTTACTTCTGAGGAGTGGCTGGGCAGTCTACTTTGGTAGAGATACTGCCTTGGAAACCCAAGGAGGGGTCGCTATGAATTGGATTAGAGTCAACAGCAGTGAGTTTGGTTTTAGGAACATACATTTTGTCTTTTTTCTCTTTCAAATCTTATACTTGTAGGTAATTACTTAGGCAATCATTTATGCTAAACCATAGATTTATATACATCTACTCCTTGTATCTTCAAATGGCCAGTAACAAATACTCATTTTTATTATTTATAAAGAACAGAATTCTATTAAAAAATAGTATGTTGTTGTTATGTGCCATCACTTATTAATTTATGCCAAGAATAAGAATGTAGCCCAGAATAAGGTTAATATTTCGTTAGAACAAAACATAATTAGAATTCGTAAAAGAGGGTAAGAAATACTACTTTTTCCTGTTAACTCCAAGAACAAAGATAGAAGCAGTTTGGGACTATCTATGCCACTGCATCTTTCAGTTAAGCAAGAATGACAATTAGTAATTTTTACAATGTCCTCAATAGTGGTTCTAGTTGTAAGTACTTATTGATTAATTTTTAATTAAGTAATTTTAAAAATTCTTAACAGAGTTTAATAATGAATTTGAAAACTGTCACCGTTTCCTAATGGCAAACCATTTCTCTTTCTCCCTAATTATGCAATCTTATAGGATTAGTTATCCCAAAACTGAAGTCATACAATTTATGTTTTAAATTATCATAATTTTTTTCTAAAAGCTGAATGAACAGTTTTTCCAGGCTCTCGATGAGCATGCATACTTTGCAGTTACAAAGATTTAGCTACCTAGAGACTATGCCTTTCTGAAACTGAGAGATAGTCTATTTATATAAACTCATTTAAGAGCGAGCACTCTTTCTTAACAACTACAGAAGTTGCCAGTAGCTGATGCCAATTTTCTATTCCATGCAAACATGTGTAGGCTAAAGGGAAAATTAATACTTGAATGAGAAGAAGTCCTATTTTAATGTCCAGAATTGCTACTGTCTTTTTCAAAGGGAAGAGAATTAAGCTCAATGAATACCAGTAATGGAGAACTTTGCAATATTAGAATAAACCCCTACAGTTAGAGGTCATTGTTTATGGAGTTATTTTTACTAGAGTTGTGTCAATAAAGTCATCTAACGCTACTACTTGTGTGCATCATGCCTAGCAAGTTCAACTAGGAATTTGTAGTCCTTATATTAATTGCCTTTTCTATGGCATTTGAATCTTCCCTGAAGCTTTCTCTGACTTGAGTGGTATCTCCCACATTGAGTTTTTTCTCTTTCTGTGGCTGCTCCTGAGGAGCTCTGGTGGCATTTGACTGCTAACCAGAAGGCGGTTCAACCTCACCAGCCACTCTGTGGAAGGAAGACGGGGCAATCTACTTTGGTAAAGACACCGCCTAGGAAACCCAAGGGGGGTTGTTATGAGTCGGAATCGACTCGATGGCAGTGAATTTGGTTTGGTGTTTTATGGCTCCTCTTCAGGCTCTACCAAGTGCCGTGCTTTCTTCAACCTATTACATGTCAAGTGTCAGATATTCCTTGGGGCTCTGACCCAGGCACTTCCTCCCTCAACATGCCTCCTTGTGTGAAACACACTCAAAGCTTTCTAAAAATACCCTTGTGGTGATGGTTTCCAAAAATCTGTACTTTAGTCCGGGTTTTTTTTTTTTTTTTGAGCTCCAGATGCATTTTGTTGAGTATCTTCATCGCATCACATCATAGATACTTTGCCATAATCTCATCCTAACGCTTATGCTTTATCTTACTCAGAAATTGTGGTTTATTTGACTGACTTGTCCATCAAACTTCTCATTCTTTTAGTATAGTATTTGTTATATATAGATAATCAAATGTTATTAAATGAATTCCACCCGTGTTACTGTCACAATTTTAAGCATCAAATTAAATTTATACTTTTCCAAAAAGTTTAAAGGAGAAAGTAGTTGAACATTTCTAAGTCCAGATTCATACATTCTTTAAGAAAATATTCCTATTTTTAATAATGGCAAATTCATAGTTTTCTTATTTTAAAAGTTATTTTTTACATGTTAGCTCATTTATCCTCAATGATACTCCTGATGCTATAGGTGTAAATTTTCAGCTCCTCCTTCTGTTTGGCTGGATGAAACCGAAGGACAGACAAGTATGCCACGCTGTAAGGTCTGCCAGGTTTCCCGGCTCTCAGTCCAGTGCTCTTCGTTTGAAAGACTGTGCCTAAGGCACTGGACTGCTGACCAGAAGGCTGGCAGTTCAAACCCACCAGCCACTCCTCTGAAGGAAGATGGGGCAATCTGCTTCTGTAGTGATACTGCCTCGGAAACCCAAGGAGGGGTCGCTATGAGTCGGGTCCAACTCGACAACACATAACAACAACAACAATATATAAAAACACCTAAAATATTTATTATCTTAAGGAGTCAAATTTACAAAAGTGGTAAATATCATCAGCCTGTAAAAAAGAAAATGGATTTTCACTCTGTGTGTCCATCTCCTTTTTAACACAAAAGCTCTAACAACAATATTATTGTTATTCTCAGATTTACTATTCTGGTGGTGTAGTGCCTAAGGCATTTGACTACTAACCAGAAGGATGGTAGGCCAAACCCACCAGCCACTCCTCAGAAGGAAGACTGGACAATCTACTTCCACAGACATAACGCCTTGGAAACCTAAGGATGAATCGCTACAAGTTGAAACTGACTCAATGACAGTGAGTTTGAGTTTTTTGTTTGTTTGTTGACTGGTGATATCACCTTCAAACTATCAATGAAGACTCTAATACATGCATATTGCATTAACTTTTCAATCAAAGGGTGTTGTACATCTAGGTCCAAAATCAATACTCTAATCCTAAAACCTGTTGTTGTTAATGACACTCTTATTTCTCCAGTTAACCGGGCTTGAAACATGCATGTAAAGGTGTTCAAGAAGGCCCTACTAAGACAGCAATGCTCATAAATGTTTAGCTAAATCTACTCTCCCCTGAGCCCTGATTCAAGACCCCAGGTTACAATTTTATCGCAGGTTGTTGCTCAGTGTATCCATTTTTTCTATTAACTCAGCCATCTGATTCTGGACCTCATCTCATCTCCCAAGACCACTGTAATAGTCTTTCTGTGACGTTTCCTAACTTCTGGTGTCTCCTTTATCCACTCCACAGGACAGCCTGTTATCAAAATAATCATCCTAAAATACTTCATGACATCATCTCTTTGCTCAAAAACTCCAATGCCTGTTATTTGAAGATGGCTAATTAAGAATAATCAAGCATACTGTGTACACATCAACATTCAGTATCAAAATTAATTTGAGGGCCCTTACAAATCTGTTTTTCCAGTCTATCCAGGTTTTCTACAAAATCTATTTCGGCTCTCATTCCCCATACACATTTGCATTTTCTTTCATTTATGCTCTTTCAGCATGTGGTATGATAGGTCACTTTTATATGGCCTTTTTCGTCATGGTCTTGTACCACACACCACGTAATTGGGTGGGATAATACAAATAAGCTTCTTGTGATCCACCAACAGGATTGGACAGCTTGCTAATAATGCAAATAAGGTGTATGGCACCCTTGTGGGGGTGGGACCATGCAAAGAAAGAATATGGAATTCTAACAAGAGCATGAGTCAGTTTTGTTAATCTCACTAAACTTAAAGTGAGCCATCCTAGAGGTGAAAAGGGGTGAACCACTATCACCAAGAAGAAGAGGCAGAAGTGGAGCACGTCCTTTGGACCTGGAGCTCCTGTGATGAGAATCTCCTAGACCAAGGAGCCATAGAGAGACTGTAACACTGGAGAAGGCTAAAGACAGCGAGAAGCAGTGGCAGAGAAATGGCAGCAGCAGAGGCAGTACAAGTGGACTGGAAAGAAATAGTGTGGTGGGCTTCCTGGCCCACAGAGCTAGAGAGCCGAGTACCTTTAGGCAGGAAGCTTGCTGGTAGAGTAGGGTGCCTCTGGCCACTTGGCAGAGCTAGGTTCACTCACCCACACAGTGAGAGAGCTGAACACCTTTGGGCTAAGGTTTACTGGTAGAGTGGGATGCCTCTGGGCATTTACTGGCAGAGCTAAAGAGCTTTGTCACAGTTGCCTGAGCAGGGCTGAGGCTAGGCTGGCCCAACCAGCCCAAGGGGCCTGTGGGGCTGAGGGCCAGAGAGAGGCCTGCCTGCAAGCACAGCAGAAAGAGGCTATACTGATCAAATAACTATCCTGAGTTGTTTCTGATCATGAATTATAACCTGTCAGTTCCCTAATAAACCTGCTAATTGTGAGTACTGTCTGTGAGTTCTGCATGGCCATTACAATTAATTATTGAACTCAACAGAATAATACACAGTACCATGGGAGGGATGGCTGGTGTCAGAATTGTTAAAAAGGATGGTAAGTGGAGGTCTGTCTGACCTCTCCTTCATAGGTATCAGCCTTGGACTGATGTTGATGGTGATTCTCTCTCCTTCTTGTGTGTTAGAGGTGGTCAGATACCTCTGCCGCACCATTTTTACAGTCACAATGCCTAACACATGGTAGACGCACATTTACTCAGAAACTCTCCACATAAAACCTTTCTTGATCTTGCCAGTAGAATATGATTCTTCCTTTCCTTTCTTTGCACTATATAGCACTTTAATTGGACCTCTTTCAAAGTACTTAATCAACAAAGTAGAATGTTACCAACATACTATTTTTATCCCAAGGACAGGATCTTTTTTTTTTTTAAATCTCTCTATTCCTTGTAGCATATAACAGACTGGCTTGCATATGAAAGCAGGTCAATTAATATGCATCAAATAATAATTTAAAAAATCAGCTTTATTCTAAACTTGCTGCTGGTTTTAGCACCCTGCAGTTTTCATGCATTAGAATTTAATATCCATTCCTAATTTGATCACAGTAAATCTTTACTGGGGGATTGTTGATATACATTTAAAAATCCCACTGATTTTCAATAAAGTTAACTCTAGGACCATAATAGCTTACAACTTGTATTATAATTTCCTTCTAATTTAATTTCAGATGGTTAGTAAAAGCAGATAAAGATGCTTTTAGGTAGAATCTTTACATTTTTTCTTTCATCAAAAGGGCTTGTTTATCTACAAGCCCTTTTGAGAATACTATGTCCAGATGACTCTTTCCAGCATGAAGACAGGCAAGATCATGTACAACAGCAGGGAAAGGAAAAAAATGACTTTTTATAGCAAGTGTTCCTAGATGTAATTTAATGATGAATACAGCGTATCTGTCCACAGCAGCACAGCAGTTGCAAAAAACACTTTCTATTCAGACTGTTAAAACTTCTCAACACTTCCTGATACTAATCTTTACACAAATTCCAAATCTGTATTACTTAAGGTCATGAAGTTTTACTGTAGTACGGGCTTTTACAGTTAAGCAAAATATCACTGAATTACAAAAGCAAGAGTGAAAAAAACAATCAGGTATTAGCAGGATGAAAAAACTCAGATTTACCTGTGTTCTGCTGCTGGAACAGAATAGCCTGGAACAGGGTCTTTTGTTCCATAGTATTTTTTAATTAAAGCAATTCCTGCTACTGTATCTGTTCCTTTGAAGTTAACCAAATGTGCAGAGGCTCCTATGCCAGCAGTCTGGAAAATAAACCATAAGCAAAAAAAACATATCCAAAAAAGAAGAGTCCATAATTGAGATATTTGTAGCACAGCTCCCAAAGGATTTATTTTCTTCAGCTTTTCTTAGAGAGAAATTTAACTACCATCAGAGATAAAGCTTCCTTATAACAAAGATTCAGGTTTTTCATAAATATTTAAGGTCTCAAATGTTACCTCCTCAAGGGGATCTATTTATACCCCAATTCCCATCACCTTCTATTCCCTTACCTTGGCTGGTGCTTGTCTATAGTGTTTTCTAACATCTGATGTATTTATTGTGTGGGTGTCTATCTGTTTATGTATCTATTTACTACATAAAGGGTAGACTATTTTGTTGAAGGCTATATCCCATATAACTTGAACAAAAGTTGACACATAGTAGTTGTTTAATATATATCTGTTGACTGAGCCTCTGGAATTCCACAAACGTGGTTTACTTAGAACAACTTCTGTGGAGTTAATGGTGATAATCTAATTCATGCTTTAGTAAATGAGGTTCATGTCACAATTTCTTACCTCTTGGGAAGAGACTCCTCTGTAGCCAAAATCATGCAGCTTGTATTCCAGACCATCTAAGTTACCAGAAGTTTCTAACAAATATTTGGCCAATATTTTCTTCTGTTCCCTTGAATTTGTGGCCACTGTGATTGGATACCAAGACTGAACAAGAATTGTCTGTAGTAACGGAATGAACCACAAGTATTAACACAAAAAGTACTAGGTTCTTTCTGAGGACAATCTTAACTATCTCTGAAGGTATGTCCTGGACTTTCATACTACTAGAAATCCCTATTAGACTTTCCAATTGTACAGAAGGATGCCTACTATGTACATTCCAGATATAGCGCATAGCTCAGCTCTCAAATGAACAACACAAAGATAAGCACATCAGGTTCTTCATAGAAATTTTATAAATACACTCACGTGTTGGTTAAGGCAATGTCAAACAGCCATAAAAGTTTCTAAATACTTACCTTCAATTTCTAAATTTGACTCAATGTGAACCTGTAACTAATAGATTATGGACTAACACTGTCTGTGGACTACACCTTGTATAGAGAAGTCTTAATATATTAGTCATTTACTGCTCTAGGAAATCTGTATTTTCCTTAGATCTATTATGACTACTTCGGAAGGAAGATAGGGCAATCTACTTCCGTAGTGATACTGCCTCTGAAACCCAAGGAGGGGTCGCTATGAGTCAGGTGTGACTCGATGGCATAGAACAACAACAACAACAGTATGACTACTGGGAGGTTCCATATTTGAGATACTTTAGCTTACCAATATAAAAATGCTTTAATTTATGCCCTTAGCTTTTTATCAAAGGTGGTAAGAAAACCAAATGAAATGTTTCAGAATTTGCAATAAAACTGCAAGGTCATTGTTCATTTTGTTCCACACTGTGTACCACATGAGTTCCTAAGTGAGGAAATGGAGCATTCATAGCTAGATTCCTATTTTCTGATAAGAAGTGGATCTTGGTTTCCCCTTTGTTCCTGGGCTGCCAGAAACTCCAAAGAAAGTTTGTTGCGTGCATAACCACAACAACTATATTAATTTAATGGCTTGAGAATTCACTTTCTTCTCAAGTCCAGTATCATAATTTTCTGTTTTATGAGCCAGATAATGTTATTGGAAGTGGTATCAAATCTGTTTTTGAAAGAGCTGCTAGATGACAACAATGTCTGAGATGAACCAAAAAATAATTTCTTAATTAAATTTTACAGAACAAGTTTTAATGAACATCAGCTAAGTAATCAATCAACAAAAAAGGTAAAAGCAAATAAAAAGGCTATTTAATCTTGGATTTCCCAATTTGGTCACCTTAAAAAATTATAAAAACTATAGCATTAGACACCTATGATCGATTAAATATGGCTTCAGATGTTTTGCAGCTCTGCCCGTCAAGAAAATAGGAATCTGGTTTGCTTTTATGACTTTTTTTTCGGGGGAGGGGGATGGGATTTAAGAACAAATTTATTGTCTCATAGTTCTGGAAGAAAGATTCATCCTACTCTGGTATGACCTTCTTTCTTATTTCCTTATGACTTGCTTTTGACCAAGAGAACGTGGCAGGGGAAAACACTGACGTAAAAGCCTCAGTTTCAAAAGGCCTTGTAGCTTCTATACTTGTCCTATTAGAACCCTTGGACTACCATGCTGTAAACAAGGCAAAGCTGGGAGAAGCCTCATAGCTCCAGACGTGGAAATGAACCACATTAGACTGCCCCGCCCCAGGAGAATACAGCTGCACAAGCCCAAGCAAGACCAGCAGAGGACTATCCAGTCAATCACAAAATCATGGGAAATAATACCTGTTTTAGGTCACTAGGTTTTGGGGTAGTTTGTTATACAATAGAAAATTAATGCAACTCCGGACTTATATTCTAATCACCTCCAATCTCTGACCATTTTGTGTCTGAAATTATTCTTTTCCATCCCACTGCCAATGTTCCATGATTGTTGTTGCTGTTAGGTGCCGTCAAGGTGGTTCCAAATCATAGTAACCCTATGCATAATATAACGAAATACTGCGCACGACAGAACGAAACGCTGCGCGGTGCTGTGTCACTTCACAATCATTGCTATGTCCAAACTCACTGTTACAGACACTGTGTCAATCCATCTGATTGAAGGTCATCTTCTCTTTTGCTGCCGCTCTACTTTACAAAGCATGCAAACTGTGCTTCTCCAGGGACTGGTCCCTCCTCATAACATGCCCAAAGTACATGAGACGAAGTCTCACCATTCTTGCTTCTAAGGAGCATTATGGCTGTACTTCTTCCAAGACAGATTTGTTTGTTCTTCCAGCAGTCCTTGATATAGTCAGCGATTACCCTACCTTTAATCTTTAGCTTCTATGACTTACTATTCATACTACCATAAATTATTTTTCTAAAACAAGTTTTATTTAGATTTTGTTTTTCAAAAGCCTGTACTAGCTATCCATAATGGGGAAAAAAACTAATTAATAGAGAATTTAAGGCCTTCCATAATCTTTATCTGCCTACCATCTAAAGGTTTATCTACATTTTTTATGTATATGCTGCAGTCTCCATCAGGTTATTTGCCATTCCAAGAGCACTATGCTATTTCCTCAAAAACTCTTCCCCTTTAGTAAAGCTTATTTTTTTTCCATTTCATGATTCCTTAGACTGAATTAACTTAAGGCATTTGACTGCTAACCAGAAGGCTGGTGGTTCAAACCCACCAGCCACTCTTCAGAAGGAAGGCTGGGCAATCTACTTCCATGGAGATACCGCCTCAGAAACCCAAGGAGGGGTCACTATGAGTTGGATCTGACTCGATGGCAGTGAGTTTGGTTTTTTGTTTATTTTTAAACCAAGTCAGCACTAACTTTTACTTACATTAGTGGTTAGTTACGAATGAAGTGCCCCTACCCTTCAAGCCTGGAACTGATTTTACGTGTGGCTCAACTTTTAGCCAAACAATAGACAGGCCTATAAGGTGAACAAAAACATTAGGGAAGTATGCACTCCCTAAAGCAACCAACCAAATGACATCAAAAGGGCATCATTTGCTCAGGGTAAAGCTTACTAGGCAGGAAGAAAGAGGAAAGAAGGATGAAGGGAAATGGTAAACACTGGGCGGAAGTGGGAAGAGTGCTATTACATTGTGGGGATGAATGTCATGAAACAAAATGTGTATGAACTGGAAAACCAATTTGCTCTGTAAACTTTCACTCAAATCCCAAAAAATTATTTTAAAAAACAACACCTAAAGAATGAACTGCCTCTCACCCCAAAGCCTAGTCATATCACTCTAAATTCATGCTCAGTATTTTTTTGTATATAACCGGTATTCAATCAAGATTTGCTGGCTGAATTGAATTCAATCAACTTTCACATTTCAATTCAACTCATATATTGTTATTATCTAGGAGTATAAGAAAGATATGAAACAAAATGTAAAAATTTCTTGCTACATTATGAAGGTAGAAGACCATACCCCTTGAAAAATGCCATGGAAGGAGAGAAATAACTATCAGACACAGTGATCCTTCATACCATCATTTCCTTTCCACAGTTCAACAAAATCAGCTTAATTTATACTTAATAAAATCACTCTCCTTTGAAAAAGATCACTGTAGGTGTTAAGTAAAGGGAAAAAGAAAAGGCAAATTAGTTTGGATTAATCCAAATTTGCCCACACAAATCAAAATAAAAACGCCAGCAAATGAACCTGCAAATTTCACAGAAGTGTTTATTTTAACGTTAATATGCATGATATGGAATTTTAAAGAATGAGAAACTGTTGGACAGAAAGGGCAATGGACCCACTCTGTTAAACAGTCCATTTCTCTCTCAGGGCTCAATTTCCTCATCTGTAAAATATGGGCATTTAATTAATGTAATGGTTTTTTAAACTCGTGCTTTCTTTTCAATAGCAGAAAGATTTTGTTTTTTGGTAGGAGAGGGGTAAATTTAGCCCAATATGCTTACTCTTCAGCCCCTTGATAAGCCCGAGACACTTGTAAAACTCCTTGTTGTTGTTGTTATGTGCCGTCGAGTTGGACCTGACTCACTGTGACCCCTCTTTGGGTTTCCAAGGGAGTATCACTATGGAAGTAGATTGCCCCATCTTCTTTCTGAGGAGTGGCTGGTGGGTTTGAACCGCCAGCCTTCTGGCTATCAGTCAAGTGCCTTAGGCACTATGCTACCAGAGCTCCCTGTAAAACTCCTAGTGGCTCACAAAACATGCTTTGAAATCTGATTAGAGGGCAAGGTTTCTTCTAACACTAATTAATATTCAAATTGATCAAACAATTCAAAATTGTAGTGGGTATTAAAATTCAGTGTACTACTACCTGGTGAATAACAATCAAAGAATAGTTACTAATAACTTCTGAGTATAAAGTAAGAGAGAAAACTGGAAGAATATTATTTAGTACTACTATTTAAAATGTTTGAAATTAAGAGCTGTCCAAAGACCATTTTCAAGATTGTAAAAAACAAGTCTGTCTGGTTGGGTAACAGAATGCTCATACAAGGCGGTCACTTAGGACTGTTGTTGTGTGCCCTCCAGTCTATTTCAACTTATAGCGACTCCATGCGACAGAGCAGACCTGCTCCACATGGTTTTCTAGGCTATAGTCTTTACAGGAGCAGGTCACCAGGCCCTTCTCCCATGGAGCCACCTGTGTGGGTTTTGCACCACCAACCAACCAACCTTTTAGTTTGCAGCTGAGTGCTTAACCATCATGCCACCAGGGCTCTTTAAATTAAGGATTAGGGACTGATAAGGGTAGGATGAATCTTCTCCACTCCTCCAAAAAAACTCTCAACAGAAGAAACAAAGTAACTATGAAGAAATCTATCCTGGAGACAGCATATTCAAAGTAAACACAACTGGAAAACCAGTAACAACATAGGATATTTAAGGAACTACAATGTCGGGTAGTATCAGACCCTAAATTCTTATGCCTTTAATAAAAATACCTACCTAGGACTGACTTTATTTAAAACATGATCTATCAGTAGAGACGTTCACAGGTGACACAACGGTTAAGTGCCCATCTGCTAACTGAAAGGTTGGTGGCTGGAGTCCACCCAGAATCGCCTTAGAAGAAAGGGCTACGTAGAACAGTTCTACCGTGACACACACACGAGGTTGTCATGAGTTAGAATTGACTCAGTATCAAATGGTTTTCTTTTTTATGTTAGTAGACTAAAAAGTAAAGTTGATATAAGTTGTTTTGGGTTACAAACAACAAAAAAACAAGGGATTATGTAACATTCTTTATATAAAATCTAACAGTCTCATTTACTGGATTTTATGTTTAATAATATTTTAATTAAAAAGGATAGTATTTACATATTTGCTAATAAGCTATCACTCTAATAGGGAGCTCTGGTAGCATAGTGCCTAAGGCACTTGACTGCTAACCAGAAGGCTGGCAAACCCACCAGCCACTCCTTGGAAGGAAGGTTGGGCAATCTACTTCTGTAGTGCTACCTCCTGGAAAACCCAAGAAGGGGTTGTTGTGAGTCGGGTCTGACTTGACGGCACATAACAACAACAACAACATCACTCTTAATATGTCTAGTATATTTTTTATTTCGTGATTTCTTACTGAAATAGACCAAAAATAATGTTTATTAATAGGTTCTCTGAAATATTTTTTAAAGGGCTAGTAGAAGAGGAAGGAGCTCTAGTGGTGCAGTGCCTAAGGCATTTGCCTGCTCACTAAAAAGTTGGTGGTTCAAACCCACCAGCTGCTCCGTGGAAGGAAGATGAGGCAATCTACTTGCATAATGATTTACGACCTGGGGGTCACTATGAGTCAGAATCAACTCAATGGCAGCGAGTTTGATTTGGTTTGAGTAGAAGAAGATAAAGAAAAACTTACATGATGCAAGGTGGAATGATAACTAGTTCCCTATTTCCATAAATAACTGCTTTAGGGAAGTTCAACTAGACAAAGGGATGGTGCTTATTGACTAAATCCCCAATTAGAAAACATAAAAAAAGAAAAGCGAAAAGATTATCCATAGTTCGTGATTTTTATAGGGTGATTTATCTGTTTGGGATCTTTTGGCATTTTAGATAGAAGGCTAGATTAGATGATGTGGTTTTTACACTTGTGTTATATAACATCATGGCTTCAAAATCAATACTTACTAGTAGAAATACCACAAAAGCTTGTTACAAAAACTAGTATGATACATTTTCTTTCACTTTGAGTCAACACCTCATCAGAAGATTACTTAAATATTTATTTTAATCAATTGCACACTTTCTCTGATGTGCTTATTAACCTATTATTAGTTAATGGCTCATCCACTGTCTACTCAGAAGGTTAACAACCTGTTAAATGAGCAAAAAATTATTTCAAATATATTCCTGGACCTCTTTTTCAATGATTTTTCCTGTCTTTATAATGAACTTCAATTTGTTATTTTACCATGTAACAAATTAGTTTAACCAACAAATTGATAAGAATCCGTTATCAGCCCTAAGTAAACATGTCTCAGATAGTAAGGTGGTTTTCCTATAGTTACTTTCTAGGGTATTTCCTCTTATAGAGAAAATCTCCAACTGTTGAGAAGCTAAACAAATTATTAGTATCAAAACTTCAATCATATGAAAAAGTATGACTGCTCAGATACTGATGCAAGGAAAATAAAAAAAGTTTGTAATAAACCCAGAGCCTATAATGTACCCTCTTACTTTCAGGCTTAGAAATTAAATAATACAAATGAGTCCTGACTATATTTAGCTGAGAGGTGGAAACATATCAGGTGACCAAATCCAGGGCCTAAATTTATTAGATAAAGCTGAAGAAATTAATTATTAAAAGTTAGAACAAAATTTCTTTAGTCCAACTGGAATAGAATATCCACAAAATGTCTTAAATTACTAAAAACTTACCCGTGCTTTTTTTTCTAATTTTGTTCTAAGACAATTTTAACATTTAGGATTGCAACAAATAAAATGGAAGCCAAATCGGCTTGAAAAGTAGTAATCTGCACTAATTTGATTTAGAACAAATTTCATAACATTAGATTTCACTGGAAGGAACCTTAAAATTATTTCCAACTGTCTTTTCATAGATAAGGAAATTGAGGCCTGGAAAAGTTAAGTAAATTATAAGACATTACCCTGTTGGGGTCAAATTGAATTATCACTCAGAGCAACCCTATAGGACAGAGTAGAACTGCTCCACAGGGTTTCCAAGGCTGAAATCTTTACAGAAGCAGACTGCCACACCTTTATTCCATAGAGTGTCTGGTAGTTTGAACCACTGACCTTTTGGTTAGCAGCCAAGAGCTTAGTCACTGTGCCATTATTATAACAGTTTCATTATTAGCAAATTCTAAACTAGAATCCCAGTTCAGTGGTCTTTACATCTTCAATTAATATTTAATAAGAGTAATTTTTAAATAATTTTTTTTACCTCAATCCAATTTGTAAGCCAATAACACTCTGGATCTGTGTTTTCTACTGTGAAGAGAACATTTCCTCTGGGAATGACAGAGCCCTCGGGAACAGCTTTTACTTCTATTGGAAGATGCCCATCATATTTCTGGTGGGAGACAATAATGAATTTATTTATTCAACACAGTATACTCTGCTACTTGTTTTAATAAGGTTCTTTATATTTTATAGGTGCTAATTTTACTGTCATAGAAAAGTTTGGTCACTGAAACTGTAATTGTAGATGTTATAATATTGTTAGTAATTTAGTCAGAATATCCTTATCCTCCTAAAATAAAATTAGCTAAAATTATTAACAGTTTAAGACTGATACTAATTTTTAAATTTTATGCTGTGAAAGTGCTTCTGCTAAAAGCATGTATCACTAGAAGACGGAAATAATTTCAAACTGATCTAAGAAAAAGTTTCTTCCCCTTCTCAGAAAAAAAAAGGGATGAGTTTAATCTAACATATTTTAAGAACACTATCTTCCTTTTAAATAGGCCATTTTTATGAAAGAAAGGCCAAATTTAAACTGATAAGATAAAGGAAGGGATTGCTATTCAAGAACAAAACAGACCAAAAACACAAGAGAAATCCCTGCTACTTTTTGCTTTGCCAAGAACCTTAAATGTTGTTGTTATATGCCATTAAGTTGGACCGGATTCATAGCGACCCCTCCTTGGGTTTCTGAGGCAGTATCACTATGGAAGTAGATTGCCCCATCTTCCTTCCGAGGAGTGGCTGGTGGGTTTGAACCGCCAGCCTTCTGGTTAGCAGTCAAGTGCTTTAGGCACTATGCTACCAGAGCTCCTAAGAACCTTAAATAGGACTTCCTTTTATTCTGTGGCATAGTGGTTAAGTGCTTGACTGCTAACTGAAAGATCGGTGCTTTGAACCCACCAGCTACTCTGCAGAAGACTGATATAGCAGTCTGCTTCCAGAAAGCCTTGGAAATGTTATGGGGCAAGTTCTACTCTGTCCTGGAGGGTTGCTATGACTCAGAATCGAGTAGATAGCAATGAGTGTGTCTGTTTTTTATTCTGTTAGTGGACTTGAAACCATGAGATGGGTCAATCATAATTATATACTTGCCAACACCTTGGCAATCAATACCCAAGTCTTTCTTACTTAACTGACTTTTTATTAATGAAACAATTCCCTCCAAAATTAGGCTGAGTGTGTATTTGCTACAGGGTATATTACCAGATAGTTTATGTTCCTTTCTTTTTTTTTTTGAATTAAAAAAAAAAAAAAAAAGCTAAAATTTTAAAATTTGTGGCAAACTTTTGGCTAAAGGAAGGTAAATTGTTTCAGGAATCTTAATAGTTGATTTAGGAGATACAGAATAAGATTATTAAATAAAAGAAAAATCTGTTTAATGAGATGCACTGGAGGCATCATGATATGACAAAGAATACTGCCTTAGAAATCCTGGCTTGGACTGAGAATCAGCAGAGAGACCTGGGCAAGTCACTTAACACTTTTGCGTCTCAGACTCTGTTTATAAAACCAGAGTTAGACAAGATTATCTCTAAAGAACCTACGAACTGCTAAGATTCTTTGAAAACATAATCAAAAGATTTATCACTCTGGCCACTGAGGATTATATTGAGCATAGCACCTAACTTATCTATTATTGTATCCTATCCTTACCTCAAATTGCACAAAAAAGGAAGATGGGGCAAGTATAGGAATTAGTCAACCAATTTTACTAACCCTATATAACGTATGGGAAAACTGTAGCACAGAGAACTTAGCTGACTTCTTCAACGGCTCATAAGTAACAAGAAGTAAAACTCAGTAGGTAGGCATGAGAGTTAAAGTACTCTAAATTATTTTGTGTTTGATAGTCTATAAAGGGAAAAAGCTTTCATTTTTAAGACAACTAACACTTAATAGCATGCTTCTGTGACAGTTTCTATGACATTCTCAATCTATGTTTGTAATAAAGAAAACCACCAGCAAACATTCAACTTTTATAGTTTGATTTCCATGTCTCTGGATGGCCAGAAGTTCAAGCATTAGATACAAAACATGCTACATATGAACATTACAGTACAACAAGGGATAAAGATGGATCTGCACCATTCTATCTATTTGGTGAAGGAAATGTCTCAGAATTACTGTGTAGGGATAGACTCACAACATTTATTTTCTTAGATAATTTACTATCAAGGAAAAAGACTTAAAATTTAAACCGCCAAATAACTGTCCTCTTTTGTAACTAAAATGTATCTTCAAAGAAATGGAAAAATCACCTTTCCTGCAAATCCTAGTTATTTCAATTTGTTTATATTATAACAAATTACTTAGATTTGCCACAGAAAACACATATATTAAATGTTACTATTAACTTTTCACACGAATATCTAAAACAGCCATTTTCAGGTCACAATAGAAGAGAGTTGTAATTACAGTCTAATATTCTACTCAAATTCCTTTGCAAGATATTTTGAACTAAAAGCAAAACTTAAACCTGAAATGATTTCTCACCTCAAGGATGTAGTTCCATCCTTTTTCATTGAAGACATCATCTTGGAAATGCTCTCTGTAGACCTCTTTGGCTTCCTGGATTTTCTCTTTGGTCACTACTTTACCTAAAATGATAACATCTCTTGTTCACATTTCTAAAGGCACTGTCATGGACTTAATGTCCTTAGCTATTTCATCCATTCTGTGGATGAAAATATAAGAATTAAGAGGTTAAATAACTCACCCAGAGTCAACAGCACAGTCAGAAAAGCAATCAGCACTTCCAACTTCCACTTACTGAGCATAAATGTCCACTGCTTATTTTAAAAGTAGATGTGCAGTAGAAATTTTTTTTTTATTAAATTCTGAATACTCTTAGAAATCACAGTAAATTAACTTATATTAGTGATCTCTCCTATATTTATTAAATTATATATTCTTCAAATTTGAAGGGTGGGAGATCCCCACTGCTATTGAATGGACTCACAGTGACTCTACAGGACAGAGTAGGAACTGCCCCAGGGGGTTTCTAAGCCTGAAAGTTTTAAGAGAGCAGATTGCCACATCTTTCTGCTGCAGAGAAGCTGGCAGGTTCAAACTGCCAACCTTTTGGTCAGTAGCCGAACCCAGTATGCCACCAGAGCTCCTTAAATTTGAGAAAGTAAGCTCTGGTGGCACAGTGCCTAAGGCATTTGACTGCTAACCAGAAGGCAGCAGTTCAAACCCATCAGCCATTCCTCAGAAGACTGGGCAATCTACTTCCATAGAGACACTGCCTTGGAAACCCAAGGAGGGTCGCTATGAGTCGTATTTGATTCAACGGCAGTGAGCCTGGTTTTGGTTTTTTTCAAGCCTTTACTATAGGTAATTCAAAACCTCAAATTCTTACATTTTTCAGGTAAACTTTTTCACCTTTCATTATTTCTTCCATTCATAACTTTCACATTATTCATGTAATGCTCATAGTATAGGCCAACTGAGCTATCAGCAAGGTTTACCTCAACAAATCAAAACATAGGAACTTTATGCCTAGGTTTAAGTAGATGATTAGGGAAACTTCTTTAACACTCAGCTACAAAACAAAGGATAAGTACATGAATTTCATAGATTTGCTGTGGGAATTAAATTAGACAGTACACGTGAAGCCCCTAGCATGATATTTGGCACGAGACAGGAAACCATCCTTACATACATATGTTAGTTCCTCATTTCATGTATCACTGATAATATCTGGTAATCCACTAACATAACTATTGGCCTCTGTCTTGTTTTTGAGAGACTGCCACCCTTCACAGGCATTTAGAGAAGCCAAATGGTGACTGTGGTCCTTTCAAATACTGGAGAGGTACAATGGTAGAGCTAAATGGGGAAAAACCTGTACCCCTTATGATTAAAATAAAAGATGTCTTTAAGGCTGGTAAATCTGTAATTTTTAAAATCTCATCTCTAAAACGAGAATAATGATAGCAAAGTTACTTATTTAAGGATGGTTGTGAGGATTCAATCAGTTTACAAAGGAAACATTTATATACTACTGCCTCATATTAGACAATCAAATTTTAGCTACAATTCATAAGTAATAACTTACAAAGTTTTTAAGCTGTAGAAGTGAATTACAGTGTGACATCAATCTTTAGTAACTTTCTCTAGATAAAATAAGCTAGTTAATTACACTTAAAATATCTTGGTTAGTCTTGCTGCACAGAAGTACTTTTGATTTCTAGCTAAGTTTTCAATAGTGTTAACATTTCTGAACTGTCTGGTTAAAACTACAAAACTATAGAAAGGGGCTATTATTTGCACTTCAAAATTTAACTTAATCTGTATTCCATTCTGAGATTATTTTTATATGAAAAGGTTAGAGATGAAATTTTCTAACATGAATAAAATGATGGGAAATGCTTTCCCCTTAGAAATCCTATTACAATATAGATTTTTTAAAAAAACCAGAGAAATGAATTTGGGGATTTTTCTGCTTTAAAATGCACTTGAGACTAAGTCCACAGTGATATGTACTTTTGAAAAATTAACTTTTAAAGTAAAACTAACGAGTATAAAAATAGTCTAATTCTAATTGCTACTATAGTTCAAAATGAGTTCTCAGGTCAATAATAAATCCTTCACTTTCAATTAATGAATAAAGTCTATTACCTAACCAGATTAGGCTTAGAAAATCTAAACTTATTTCAAAATTTATCAATCTCAGAAAATCTGAGAGTTCTGATACGTAGAGCATCAAACATGGACCCTGAATTATAATATTTAATGCAATCAAATTTACAGGTTAAAATAATTTTTCCCAAAGAACTCCTAAAGTAGTTACACTTAAGTAAACTACCATTCTTAAATATCAAAATTAGACTATTCAAGAAGTACTTGAAACAATAGAATATAACAAAGGAGAAAAATTATGAAGAGGTATATAAAAGTAGTGTTTTTAAATGTACTAAGAAAAGTAATACCTTTTAAGTACTTATTAAGAATGTACTGCAACCCATAAAATACTGTTTCCTCGTATTTCACCTTCCTTACTTTGGAGTTTTCTGTCTTCTTTTCACGGCATTCAAAGTAGGAATAAACTTTGCTTGTGTTGGGTGGGTACTGTTTATAGTGAGTAACCTATAAGAAGAGAAATACTTTGATTAGAAAACATCAAAAGTGTAGAATGTAAATCACAACAGGAAAGGCTTGAAATTAATTAAAAACTAAAGAAACTACATTTTACTTGCCTTTGATCAGCTTAGCTTCCTGGCTATACAGAATAAAGAACAACTATCTTGAATTATTAAAATAATTTTAATAGTTTTGTATCTTAAAAGCAAAGCCACACCAGAGTATTAAGTTTTATAAACAAACATGCTGAACTTAAAGAAGTACAAAGCCTATAAATTGGACACTTGAAATAAAATAGAGGGAAAGGTATCTCATCTCAGTTGGTCTTGGGGAACAGTTTCTTGTTCAAAAGAGGAGAGAAAACTGGAGCACACATATACTATAAAAGGATGGACTGAAGTCAGCAGAATTTGGTACTGTTCCTGACTAAATGCAGTACATTCACTAAGTCAGTAGGCAATAACTTCTCATTTGCATAATGAGGTATTGAGAATGATCCCCTTCTAGCCTTCATAGTGACACTATGAAAACCTGAATGAAAGCAAGAGCAACAGAAAAAATTTTGGTTTGTAATCGTTCCTATTTTAAAATTACCTCCTCATTGTCAATAAATGCCTACAAAATGCAGTATCATCAGATCCTTAGGAGTTTAAAACTAGGAAGAGATCTTACATAAATTTCTTTTCCATGAACTTAGGTGAGAACCAATGTTGAAAATCTATCTACTTTTCTTTCAATTAAAAAAGAAAATCTACAAAGTTAGGGCTAACTAAATTTGAATTTTATTTCAATGTTTAACCACATTAAAACATTTTTACTAGTAAAAAATAACTGAAAGAATAAAATATATTTGCACAGTTCAAAGAGTAGGAATAACAATGCCTTAAAAATTTAAGATACAGAGTAAATCAGGGCAATGGTGGAACAAATCCTTGCAGAACAAATTTCATGGATAACCACTGTGAACATAAATCATTTTCCTGTTTAGCTCTGATCGCAAGCTCAGGAAAACTAAAGTTTTTCCTTTAATTTGGCTGCACAATCTCAGTCCCCAATAAAACTTGGTTTTAACTTAAACTAACTTGGCTTAGCCCAAAACTTTTAAAATGAATATATTTCTATTCTGAAGGAATGTCCTCTATAGATGGAACAAAAATACCTACACATTTAAAATATAAAATTTCATGTTTCCTTTATAATGGAAGCATATCTCCCCAAACCTATAGAAATAGCACTTTTACGCTGCTTAAAAGATAACCTCGGACATGAATCTTTATGTTAATATGCAGTCAGATAACTATTCAGGCAGGAGAGTTGGAGCTTTCTGTTTTGCTTAGGAACATGAAGATATCTAGACACTAACCTAAAGGTGTAGGGAAGCCTCATCAAAACTAGAAGTATACGTCAGTTAGAACCTAGGGACTGGTACAACTGTAATTTTAAGATTTAAGTAGTTAACTGAGATAGCTAATACAAAATCCAAAGCAATCAAAGCTACTACCCAATTCACTAAAATGCAAAGACAATACAAATATACATGTGAATGATACCCTAGCAATAAATATTAAATGATTATTACTTTAACTACTTAAGAAACTAATCAGGAAAAGACAACATCTAAAACCCAAAATTCATGTCAAAATAAAAATGTCCAGTTTACTATCTATAATTTCAACTCCTTTAGTATGAATAATACATTGAGGTAGAAAAAAAATTTACAAATGACCAAAGAAAGGTGATCCCACAGAATGTAGAAATTATAGAACAATATCACTAATATCACATGCAAGTAAGATATTACTGAAGATAATTC